CATTATTAATAAGGCGTTGCCTAGGCTATGGATTATAGACTTCATAAATGTACCGTACAGACTAACGCGCTGATGGAAATCGGAGTCCTGATGATCTTGTTTAATGGTAAATCAGAATCAAGCTATATTTGGGTAAAGTTTGTGTTTGCGCTTACCATAGCTTGGCTTAATGGCATCCAATGCAATTTCAGGGCAGCAAAATTGGTGATATTCTAAAGTAGGCCATCTGTACGATGTCTATACGTACTGCCCCACATCTATTAGCACATTTGAATCAGTATTTCACATTTTTTTGCGTTTACGACAGCGCAGAAACAAGTTATATATTGAGTCCTTTTTGTCGGTACCCCCAAAAAACGTTTTCCGTCACAATTTCCGGCTTTTTTTTTTTGCTCCATGAATGTCGATGTACATTGAGATAGTCTTGTCTCAGCTTAGAATGTAGAGAAGTGGCTGGAATATTGAGTTTGAAAATGAGGGGGTCAACTGGCCGGTATTTTCTCACCGTATTTTCTTCTAATACTAAAGTTTCTCTAAAAGAAATATGGCCAAGGTTAGTTCAAACGACGGGTTTTAAACTGGCGGGGATTACACTGCTTGTATAATATACGCATGGGGAATATCAGTAACACTGCTAATAACACTCAGTGTGCTTAAGTACTGCCCATATTGACATCCTACTCCTATCAGATCGTTCACATTCTGGAGCTGACTAGAATCACGTAGTCCATGGACGTCTTTCCGGGACGGGTCAGAAAGTATTATGGAGAGGGTTTTGGATAGCGGAAATAAATATTTGGTGACATTTCTTTTACAAAAGCAAGGCCACACTGACTTAATTATATGGATGGGCATCCTCTGAAGACCCAAAACTAGTGCGCGTGAGTGCATATAAAAAAGATTCCAGCCAAAAAAGATGCCAAAGAAATACAGAGCTGGTTTTGTGAATTTGCACTAGTACAAAGCGAACTTTACGACAAGCCGGCACATGCCTTTTGCGGCATCTATGAGTCGGCACTGAGTTCTTGAGTTCCGTGGAGCTTCGGCAGCCTGGCTGCCATCCTCCGTAGTTACCGCCGGCTCCCTACTGTCACTAGCTACCATGGACTACGGAGGATGACACCCAGGCCAGAGCCTCGGAAGAGAAAGAATGACAGGTAGAATGACAGAGGGTCAAAAGGTCAGACACAGGAAATGACTCTCGCGCGCTGGGAGCAAGCAAAAATCGAGGAAGCCACTGATTGCATGAGGGACTCTCTGATACTTCCCGAAAGTATGAAATTTCTTGTTTCGTCTTCGTGCCAACAATGATAATCCTTTCAAAACATCCACATTCTTGAGTCAGCCAGGGGCACGTATTCCACGTACACCACAAAAGGACTGACCAAAAATTACCCGGAGGAGGCTGTTGGGTGTGCGATTTAAAACAACAACGCTGCACAGAAGAGAACAAATAAAGCTCAATAAGATTTAAATTGAACCCTGTAAATCATAACGCCTACTAAGGGCACAAGATGGAGTCGGTTTTGACACGGCAGGATTTGAACCCGGTATCTCTTGGTTCTAATTTGAACACCACAGATCAATCATTCCTGTCAAAGCTGTGTTACTCGCGGTCATATCGCTGGCTTGGCAGGGTATTCTTTTGTTCATGATTAATATGTGTCCTTGAAATGCATTCATGCTTGAAAGTGGTGTGTCACATTGATCAATTCGTCCCTGCGTGACAGAGAATAAATAGATAGGACTGTGAGGAACTACAATCAAACTACAGTCAAACTTGCCCAAGCAACCATCTCCATAAGCCGGCCATAACGACCGCTTCTTCTCAGCCTGGTATCCAGTTTATCATGGTTGAAGCAGGCTGTCTTCGGGGCTCTTATAGTGTTCCCCCGTCCAGCTCAACAGTTCGCCCAGTAGGAGTTACGCTTGTGATAGGGTTTGGCACACCGGGAGTTGATGAGCCCCTGTTACCACATAAAATACTAGTATATAGTGGGGCTAATCAAACTCCCGTCGTGCAAAACCTTCCGGGGAACCTAGCTGAGGCGAACGGGGAAGAGCTTCAGCAGCCCCGCAGAAAATCCGTCTCAACCGCGTACCGCGATAGGCTGGATACCAGGCTGGTGCAGCCGAATAGTAGCCGAATTCGCCGAACACCAGCCGACTCTGCCCCAACCTACTGCTAACCATGGTTGTGGGAATTTCATCTAGTGTCCGGGAGTCCAAATTCGTGAATACGTCGGTGAAGGTTAGAGATCCAGGTAATAAGACACACCGAAAAAGTTACTCAAGCAACTGGATCTAATTTTGGAAACGGTCAGCAAATTCGTGAATGCGTGACAGGGGTTCAATGTGTGGACGTGAGGTGTTGGTGGATACCTAGTAATCATCAGGACCTCTAATGCCCGTACAGAGATGTACATCAAAAAGACATGAAAGGTCGCTGACTCAGCCGTTAACGATTCTTCCCTCGGCCGTTTCCTGACTTGGTCATGTTGCGGCAGCGCCTGAGTGCCTGGTCGGGACGTGCACAGAAAGGTTAGCGCGCTGGCTGTCCAGATAACATCAGCTGCACCGACAAAACGGCGCGGAAACATAGCCGTGAGTTTCCCCTGCCAAGGGCAAAGGCCAGTAATCTGTGCATTCTGAAACCAAACGTAAAGAAGTCTAGATCTTTTTCTAGGCAAATGTTGGGGGTTCTGATTTTGGAGCTTGATGTTATAGGTAAGGGTTTTAGTATTTTTATTTTGTTAAAAAACAGACTTTCAGCCGTGTTTGGGTTGTCTGCTTCGCTAAAGAAGAATATAGTCCTCAGAGGTCAGAGATCACTTGTCACAGTATCTCCTATCTCACGGTAGTTTCTGCCGTATGCAATTTGATCTTTGTGGACTAAATGGGCACTTTAGACGTTGGGATACCCTGCCAATGTGTTTTTGCATGGTCTAAAATTCAGGTCGATGACGTTTGACAACTTTATATCTGATATAATCCCAATATTAGAGAATAAGATGCCAAGTCATATTACTTTGCCCCAAGTGTTTGACGTTGGCATCGATAGGTCATGCAGTCAACCCACCAGGAGCTATACTTAACTTTGCAGTCAAACATTAACTTTAAGCATAGTCTACAGAGTAAAGATTCATGTACTATGTGCGTAAAAATTCTAACAGGCCAAGGCTCAGTGGATGCTACCCCCCCCCCCCAACAACACTACATCATCAGCTTACATCAAACTCCTTTGTTTGTGAATGAGCCTGATCAAATTTCCGGCACATTCGCTTTGATTGGTCCTTGATGTAATATAATTAAGGCGCACTCTGTTTTAAAGCCTTGAGTAATGGCGTGAGTAAATAGACGTTGGCCCTAAATGGACGAGAAGTGTCGATTTGTATCATTGGGGACGACGACAAATGGCATCCTAATGCGTGTAATAGGACCTATAATTGACTCCTATCCGTGCATGTGACTTTAGCATCGCCCGACTACGCTTGGTCGTTTGCATTCACCCGCCATTTCGAGACTAACGGGCAAACTCTGCCAAAGTACCGCATCAATTTCTTTTCTAAATTACGGTTCGTTGACTCTAATCGGTGCTTTGGGTGCTCTGATGTTTTTTTCTTAGATGCATTCTCTCCCATTTCTCTTGTAACACTGTCTGTTATATAAATGAGACGTTTGCATTGGGTAAATGTCCTGAAGAGCTTGGGGTCACTGTCCTGAAGACTTGTAAGTGAAACCAACACAAACTCCCACAACGATACTATGCTACACGGTTTCAAGAGATTGTTTGTACAAGGCCGTCTTCACACTAAGCTTGCCATTCCGGGTGAATCGCATACCTCACATCCGGTGCACGTGCCACACTTTCCTTCTAAACCGTGCCCTAGTCCAAACCGGCCAAACTACAATACTTGTAGTTTGATCAAAAGACGCAAAAAGGCGTCGTGTCGATGTCAGAGGCCAACGACCTGCTTGCTGGTGCCCCCTCCCAGCGTGCCTCAACCGAATGCCGGCGCGGTCCAGAGGCGGTGAAGCTAGAGTGAGCACGTTATTCGGTCATTACCGCTCCACTTTTCATGAAGGTCAAAAGTCAAGCACTATCATTAGCTGCACTAATTGTGTCTGAACAAGCCTGCGTAGCGATGTACTAAAAACCAGATGGATCTTCCAACTTCAATGGGCTCCAGTTGTGGCAGGTTTAACCTGGCTCGGCCAACGTTAACTTTATAACTACATAAATATCTACTCCCATGACCGACGATATTCGTCGGGGGGGGGGGCAAGGCAGACCACACAGTAACTCTATCCACATCCGGTAAAAAGCTTTTTGTGTGTCGTTAACAAGAAACCTTCCCATATTCAGTCCACCTTAAGACTGCAATAACGAGCTTGTTTCTCATCTCAATTATCCCTCCGGTACAACCATGTGACCTCTGTTTTTTTACCAAAAATCGATAGTTCCAGTAGGTGTAACTTTCATCACAAACCTTGGGAGAGATCTAGTTTGCTTTCGATCTAATGCTGATGAGTTTTCTAGATAAAAATATCTTGATCTTGTTGTAAAGCAGCTTCTATGAGATCAGACCTATCTTCTAATTGAATCTTCTTCCGGCGTGTTCGATAATTAGCTTTACCAAGAGAACGCTGCTTGAATACATTCTCTAGTTGGAGAAGATGTGTTCAAACACATAGTCAATACAGATACTTTGTTTAGCTTATATTAGCATCAGATTAGCATGAAAGTTCATTTGAGTTGGTAAATAACATAGTGAAAATTAAAATATTCTCCAACTGAAAATAATTTTTGACCGAATGTCTCGCTCTTCATCAGCTTTTTCACCCAGGCGCTGTACAGACGTGACCTTTTCCTCACGTGTGACGTCAGCACTGGGTCAAAGTTCGTCGGAAGTGGGTATCGTCCTCCGTTCCGTTTGTGTGCACTGAAAATTCCGGTGGGTTGGAAAACAGTTTTTTTTTCACTATGTTGTAAAGCTTACCAAATATCATGGCTCGGAGTTTCCAGACGCTGAACCACCGCCCGGCTTTCTGTGGATGGACGATCATGGCGAATCTGCATGTGGGAGACAAATCAACGGTTAAAACATTGTATTCTCTCATGGCATGCCTATTGCTTGTATATGTAAAGCCCCTGTCACACAAAGCTGAACATGGACTCCGGAACGCTAGCCGAAACCACGGTTAGGAGTAGGTTGAGAGCAAGGTCGGCTGGTGTTCAGCGAGGTCGGCTACTGTTCAGCTGCGCCAACCGAATGTTAACGTTTCAAAATATTTTTAAAAAGGGATTCGGCCATTGTTGGCTGGTAATTGGCCGGGGGTAGGTCGCTGCGTTGTTGGCAGTCAAATCTAACTAAAATTTAACTCAAATTTAATTCAACTCGTATTGAAAGATAGGCGTGCCCAAGTCTGGTCAGACACAAACTCTCCGGTTTTCGCAAAACGGATCTGAATGTGTGTTTTAAATACCGTACAATATGAGGATGTGTATATCATTTAGCTCTTCTAGTCCTAAATTTAATCAATGCGTGCCATGATAAATTGCTGATAAACTTGACCATCCCTTGATGCATGTGACATGAACACGTCACATGAAGACCTAATAATGGCTGTTACAATGTTGTTATCTATCTTTTGCAGATCTAGCTATCTTTTTCAGACTGACGTATGGTGGTATCTGGTATCTTTCTCTCTGAGGGAGGTATATCTATCTTCTTCAGGATATTGTTCTGGCTTGTCCTCTGTTTCACATACATCACTGTCATACATGTGTCACGATGGTTGTAATGCAGCAATATTAGTGTATACAGGGGCGAGGCAGTCAATACAAATGGTCCGCCTGACATCTCACCCGTCAAACTATATTGAGCTGGTATGAGGAAATGTCCATCAGATTAGCTTATATAGATACCAGCCCAGCAAAGAGCAAGAAACAGTCATGCCTTCAAATATCAGAGTTATCAACCAAGAATTGAGGTATTCAAAAACTCATATTTTTCAAAATCTATTGTAGAGTGGAACTCGCTGCAAACAAGTACAGTAGGGGCATCATCACTAAAATTTTTATGCAACTCCTGCAATTAAATATGCAAAGCTTGATTGTGACAAGTCATTCCTTTCGATATAGCTAGCTGCCACCACGCTTCGTACCTGCGAAGCTGGTGTGTTACGCCGATGGGCGGTTATACCGGCTCTACAGATACAGATACATCAATCTAGCAGCACGTATTTCATTGCAAAAACATTCCAGTCAGATACAAGCTATGAAAAGAAGATTCCATTTGCGCAGGAAGTTCGCTTCAATTATGATACATTTCATTCTTTTCAAGGCCAGTTATTTCCCACGTGGGGCTCTCAGCACTTTTCCCCAGTCAAACTCTGGAAACAGAGCGATGAAAAGAAAAGTAAATCATCTCCCCGCCTTGGAAGAGAAAGTGATTTGGAGATAATGGACTTTCTGCGCGCTTCAGACGCGTGACTTTCTGAAAGATAAAACGCTATTTTCCTGGGATCTCCCTACGGTACAAATCCCCGTTTTGTTAGCGGGATGTGGAGTAATGGTGCTCCGTGGGATGAATTGTTAATGATGTAAAGCCCTTGGAAAAAAATGGTGTGTTTCCTGTTTTCCGACCAACCCTAGAAAAAACTGCCGACCCTAGGCTTTTTTTGTGTCCACCCCTGCAAGGAACATAAAATTTTCGAGCTGATCGACCTTTTCTAGCTCCATGATTTTACACCTGAGTGATGAAAAATTGTACAATCAGTTTTCCAACATTGACATTGAAAATATAAGTGTCGTCATTCAAGTTTTACTGTTTAAATGTATGGTATACGTTGGACTACTAGAAATCTCCAAATTTATAAAAAGCAATAAAAATATAATCCCTACCTACCGACCCTATTTTTTTCAGAACTGAAACGGGAAACACAACATTTTCTCCTCTGCCCAAAGGCGTGTTAACTGATGATCCTAGCGAGGTTGGAGTACGTGGCTTATCCGTACTGACCTTGGTGAGATACTCGTTTCACACACATGGAGGGACAAGTGCTTTCCCATAAAGAACATTAGTAGCCTCTACCACCAGGCTTTGGGAGGTGGCTGCAAAGAGTAGAAATTGGCCAAATAGAGAGATAACATGGCGCAGGGAAGTTGGTCCGCTTGAAGAGTGCAGTTCCAACTCCAGCACTATGCCACCATTCTGATTTTATCCTCGAATATATATATATACATATACATATACAAATGTATATATATACTGAATATTGAGAGAGAGAGAGAGAGAGAGAGAGAGAAAGGGACAGAGACAGAGAGATATAGAGACTGAGCGAGAGAGACACAGAGAGAGAGAACATTAGTATTCGAACTGTCTGTGTGGTCATGAAGGAATATTAGAGCTGCTGTCAGTTTGAAACCTCTCTCTGGCAGCTTTCCCAAAAAGAAGAACATACATGCCCGACCTAAAGTGTTTTCATAGAGGCTGCTAACTTCACGGCATTTTATCTTGCTCGTATTGAGTGACTATAGAAACCATAGGTCGTCCATCAAGATTATATATATATACGTACAGCGACCTATAGCAATTTTAGGTCTTGATTTACATGGTTGGGGCAACTTGTCTAGACTATTTTAATCAAAAGGCATCTGTAAGAGAATTGGGAAAGTATCCATCATTAGTTGAAGCCGGTATGTTGTACACAGCTTTCAAGTCAGCAGAACGCCTCTAGCCATGATCCAGAAGTAATTTTTACCGATTGCCCTTGCATCAGCAGTTTAGGATTGCTACTAAGGTTTTCATTCGTCGTAATGTGATATGAATAATCTCATTCACAACCAGAGCGCAGAAAAGTTGCAGACTGTCATTCTGTCAAATGCGTGGAAGCATCCAAAACTTTCTCTGCCGGTCTTTTATGCTCAGTTTGTTTCATCAAGGGTCGTAGATAGAGACGGTGGGGGGCTTACCAGGTCAAATATTTGCATGAATTGAAGAGGTTTACGTTGACGCAGTTTTAAGGGCTTGAAAACCCGATTTTTCAAAGTCAATGACTATTCTAGTCATTTATCTACATATTGAGTTGAAACCACACTGTCCCAATGTATATTGACCCTCATGGAGCAAAAATCCCAAAAATTCTGACGGAAAATGGTTACTGGAAGGACCCTAGGCTGATTTTTTAGAATACCTCCCAGAGAATAAAGGACTCATCTTGGGGCTTGTTTTAAATGCCCAAAGTATGAAATACTGACACAAATTTGCTTACGTGAAGCAGTACATGTCAATATCACAAAGATTGCCTTGTTTAGAATATTTTCAGTTTTGCTCCCTGAAATCGCATTGGATGCCTTTAATGGACTATGAATAGCCTCATTCACAACCGGAGCGCAGAAAAATTGCAGACTGTCATTCTGTCAAATGGAAGCATCCAAAGCTTTCTCTGCCGGTCTTTTATGCTCAGTTTGTTTCATCATAGATAGCAACGGTGGGGGAGTTATCAGGTCATATATTTGCATGAATTGAAGAGTTATGCGTTGACGCAGTAAGAAAGCCCTTGTTAAAGGCAATCAATGCAGTTTTTAGGACTAGAAAACCCGATTTTTCAAAGTCAATATTCTAGTCATTTATCTACATAGTGAGTTGAAATCCCAGCGTTCCAATGTATATTGACCCTCATGGAGCAAAATAAATTCCCAAAATTCTGACGGAAAATGGTTACTGGAAAGACCCTGGGCTGATTTTTCAGGGTACCTCCCAGAAAATAAAGGACTCATCTTGAGGCTTTTTTTCTGCATTTTTAAATGCCCAAAGTATGAAATGCTGATTCAAAAAATGTGCTAATGTGTCAATATCACAAAGATTGAATATTCAGAATAGTCCAGTTTTGCTGCCCTGAAATCGCATTGGACACCTTGTCTTCACAGAAGTCGTTGTAAACTTAGATTGCATGAAATTGGTTTGGGGACGGCTGAGATTGTCCGCGCGATTTTCTGACTACTTGATTGATTCACTGTAAGTACAATCTTCCTGGAAATCCCTGGCGGTTAGGTTCCAGGAAATTTCAAAGTTCCCTTTTAAGGTGCATCAGCGATTAAACGAAAATCGTTTGACCTGGATCTGCATATATCGATTTATACGAATCTGTGCCAGGTTGCTCTTTGAACAGTGAATGCATCTGATGAGGGAACCGTTGCTGTCGTTTCTGGCTCAGAGTAGACGAGCACATTTTCCAAGACAAAGTGCGTGCCAGTGAACTTTGATTATCTTCAAGTAGACTTCTTACCATTTGCAACTCGGGTGGCCAATTCGATCGTCCCCTGCCCGAAGAAATGTGCCTGGAGATTAGAACTTTGATACCAAAAAGCCTCTTATTAGGAAGAAAACTACACAGTCCATCATGTAGTTTCTGTTATAGAGTGTGGAGGATGGCATCCTATGGGTCAAATATCAAACAAGAACGATTGTAAAGGTGCGTGCAGGCTCCTACTAAGCTCCTGAAAGTGGTAATACTGCTTGTCAATAAGATGCACCTTTCTAGAGCTGAAATCATACATATCTAACCAGGGCAGACTTGGGCATAGGACAGTAATAGGGCATCCTAATTTAATACATAGCAAATATCTAAAACATCACCTAGCAGAGTTTTAGACAATAAAAATCAATGGACAGAGTAGTCCGAACTTTAAATTATTCAACATTCGCTCATTGTATACGGCAGAACGTGTCTCAGTTCGGGCCAAAACTAAACCCATGTGACCTTTGACCCTTTCTGCAAGTAACCACAACCAATCATAAGGACTTCTTAAGTTCTACTACGTAGCCCAAGCAAGCTGAGACCCATAACTGTTCAATCTAACCCAAAACTTAGAAATGTTTCAAGAAAAAACTTTTCAAGGTTATTAAGTAGCACTACATTAATTATGATATTCCCATGTTGGGCCCCGTGCTGCGTACCATTAACTCTTGAGACGACCAGCCCACATCACGGTTAATCCATTTCTGCTGCGGAGACGGTAACCAATGCTTTTCACCAGGAGCTTTTCTTCTTTTTCCAGTGTCGTTCAAGGTCTTCTCTCTAATGTCTTTAAACGCTTTTAACGTTGCCTTGCTAGGGCTGGCTATTCAATAATTGTGTCTAAATGTTTCCTTACTTTCCCACTTTTCCCTAACACGAGAAAACAATTTTACAAAGAACGCACATATTATAGATTAAGTGGATAAATTCGTCTTCCTCTGAATGCAAAAAAAAAGAAGTCAAACCCAGCAAAACTAGTACCACGTATGTTGTAGAATGTAGTATAATGTTAGTCGTAGTCTCTTATAGGTCTTATAGGTAGTCTGCTTAAGGTGTGGCTCTCCTCAAACACAGGACCATTGGCGTTACGTCCTACCCGAGAGGATGTCCCTTACCGAATAGGTACTCATTTGCGATTGAGTCGAGTGAGAAAATAGGTGAACAGTGCCTTTCCCAAGGGCACAACACTAGGACCTGCCTGGGGTTTGAACCCAGGACCTTCAGATTCCGAGTCAACGACCCTAACCACAAAGCCACCTTGCGTACTCTCCTAGCAGAGGTTGATGGGGAAAGATCTTTGGGGGGTTAGCGTTTTATACATGGCCCATTTTTTATGTAGCGAAAAAAGGGCCAAGTATAAATAGCTAACGATCTTCCACCATCAACCTCTGCTTCAAGAGTAACCTTACCACCTCTACGGTGATACAATAATGATTTGTCCCGCTACTGTACTATGTCAAACACACGCCCTAACGATAGTACTCCGGGTGTGCCTAGTAACGGGTGTGCCATATAACTTCCTCATGATAGCAGACTCATTTCCCCTACATGTACAGAAGTCAAACTAATATTACGTGAACATTACAAAGACAATATATCTGTATGATATTTGGAAAGAATCCTTGTATTATTCCATTCACAATACCAGATAAAGGTTAACCAAAGTCATAAAAAACCTTCCACAATAGACATGTTTTAGCGTTTTTAATTTTGATTATTCACAATGCATGTGGACGTTTCAATGGCACGGGTAGATTAAGCTTTCACAGATAATGGCTCATGCATCATTTACTAGCTCTGGGGTTGTGACCCAGTGGTACAAAATGTAATATGTGGGAATTGTGGAACAAGAGTCCATTAGATAAGCTTAGTAGTCTGAGCGTCTACGTGTTTTATTGTTGTACCAGACATACTATAGACGACGGCTTATGTAAGGATTAAACAAAGACTCTTTTCACGAAATCCTGGAGTCACCATTCTTCGATGTTACATTTTCTACCATAATGAGCTATAATTTTCAGACAAATTATCATTAAGATTGTATTGTTGTAGCATATATACTATAGACAAGGGCTTATGTAAGAATTAAACAAAGACACTTTCCACGAAATCCTGTAGTCACCAATCTTTGTTTAGACAGACGCGTAATTTTCTACCATAATGAGCCATATTTCGCAGACAAATTATCATTAAGATTTTATTAGGCAACGAATGAAAAATTAGGAGAGATCGTATCATCCACAAGAGACTAATTAACATGGCGTACAACATTGATTGCGTGAAAATAAATGAGTTAATCTAACTTTAAAGATAAGATACATGATAGCAGTGTGCTCTTCTTGTGTTCGGTATAGTAGAACATTGTTATTAGTGACTAGATAAAAGATTAAAGCCATCCAATGCAATTGCAGGGTGCCAAACCTGGATTTACAAATTTCGAATCAGTCAATTTTCTTGTCATTATTTTAGTGTAGTAAGTTGAATTAATCCTACCCCATAGCATACCGATATGTGTGAGGTAAATGTCAATATCAGATAGATTTCCTCATCCATAATATTTTGTATCGCCTCCCTGAAATTTCATTAAATGCCTTTAGAACACGTACAGGCCATCTGGTCACGATAGTGGAGACTTAATTGTGACGCACTTTTGTCCTAGTCTATGTGAATGCGTGCGAAGGTTACATGTGTTAGTATGCCAGACCAGTTTCTGGGGGCATTTGCAAAAAAAAAATAATTAAATAAAAATAATGAAGCTAGAATTATATTATCGAAAAGCAAAGATCTTTAGTTATATCTCTATCAACCTGATGAAATTATCCACTTATTGAGGGAGCTACTGAATAAAATGAGACCATGCATTCCAATAGAATAGTCGGCATTGTTAAGGATATACCTATCCTATGGCAGGACCTTTCAAATAAATAGAAATAAATCAATAAAAAATAGAAATACACACCCAATATACTTTCTAGAATCTTTCCAATAATAATAAACATTATAACGTATGGTTGGCGGTATTTCAATAAAACTTGAAGGGCAAACAAAGTTTTATAGGTAGAAAATATGACATTTGGTGGTCGATGTGTACACAGAATTGAATATATGACCTTTTCTTCGAATGAGAATAACATAAAGCGAATCCGAGAACCATGAAATTTAATTGGTGAAGCCTTAGTTCTGCAAATTAAAAGGACTGCGTCAATTAGATACGCCAAATGCAAAGACATATGAGAGCAGACTCTGTAGTCAGTATTTTTAGGCCACACCAAGTAATTTTTATGGATGGCGTCGTCTGAATCTCTTAAATATAATGCGAGAGCGCGAAAACAAAACAAGAAAGCAGAAAAAAAAGCAAGATTCCTAGATTCGAAATATATTAAGAGACGACAAATTAAATAGCAGAACACAGTGTAACAACCATCAAGTCTTTTGTTCGTCATGAAAACAGCAATAAATCAGTGGAACAGCAGTTGTCGTCCTGTCCTGTTTCTTTCCTGTCATCACATCTTACCTTATCCCACTGTCGTGACTCTTTGGTCATAGTTACAAGAAGTAGACTTTCTTTTTTTCTATGAACAGGCCAAAATCAATGCGCGCGTGGACATCATCCATAAGAATCATTTGGTGTGGCCTTACAAATAGTCCTGAGCACAAAGACAGAGAGTCTATCTCCTAGGCGGTAGAAATGACTAAGCTTTAGTATGGGATTATTTTGAATAAATGCAGCGCTGAGGGCCCTGTATATGGGAAACTGAAGAATGTGTATTTACCGGCAAAGCCCGGCTATAGCCGTTAGGGCTAATACAGGAATACGTCCGGCATTGTTGACGGATGGCCACTTAAAAACTATGGGGGTCAACTCATGGTAACGGTCGGCTTATGTGTAGGGCAAATATGGTCATAATCAACATGTACACTGCTAGGAGATATTTTAGCACAGGGATATAAAACAGATGTTACACGCCATTTTTCTGTTTTAATACAAAATTACATGATGTATAAAATAACTAGTTCAAGTTCCCTCCACACTTATTGAAACGAACAAGAGTCATTTTCGGTGTGAATGATTCAAACCTGACAGTCTGGTCTCAGGGTTGACAACTTGAAGAGGTGATAGTCACCTGTTATGTCAATCCTTCCACAAATGTGATAAAGCTTAATGAAAACAATCCTATTATGTCAATCCTTCCACAAATATTGTAAATCTTATATAAATAAACACGGAAAAGTATCTATACAAACCTGTTGAGAGAGATAACAGCCAGTGTCAGGGCAATATACTGCTAGGAGTATAAACAGATATTATACCGCAATTTTCAGCTATATTACAAAATGAATGATGTATAAGATAGGAAAGGTACCGACCTGTTGAGAGAGATGACAGCCAGTGTCAGGACGGACGCCAGGCCGAACATGGTCGTGGTGAAGCCGTTGATGGCACACATGGCGTCGCCCATGTTCCACCGCTTCTCGGAGACGAGAACAACCACCGTGATGGGCCCGTTCACCACCGCCGTCAGCAGGTCGCACAGGGCCAGGTTGAAGACTAGCTGGTTGGAAACCGTCCGTAGTTTGGGGTTGGAAATGACGATCCAACACACGGCTGCGTTCCCCACTACTGTGGCTACCATGATCAGCAGCATTGCCGTTATTTCCAGGACCACCTCCCCCGTACTGAAGGCGGCCGCCTCTGCGGGGCGAGGCGCGAGGGTCGCCGAGACATTCTCGTCCCCCGTCCCGTTCCATGTAAGAAAGGCGTCCATAGTCGGCGCCAGCGATGTAGGAAAAGCAGACGGGAATTCGTAGTAGCTCATTATTTACTTACGACGAGGTTATCTTCTTTTGGTTAGCTATAAAATAAACACAACAGAATTCTAAGGCAGCGCCTCTACTAAATGGACTAGACGAGCAGCTAGCTAGGAAGATTAAACACAAGATACAAGTACGTCGCTTTACATATGTATTACTTGCTAAGCATGTAGGGCGCATTTGTAAGACGGGGGATGGTACGCCAATAAATTTGCCGAAGGCACGTCGAGGGGCGGGCCCTTGCTGGGTGGGCTGAACGTAAAGCATACAGGTGGGAGAAGTCAACTGTAGGCAAAGCGCACGCGAATCCCGCCAAATTTGCATATAGTCCGCGTCCTTCACCCCCTAGCGCGTGTGGATATTGCTGCAGCTAACCCAGCTTTCGCTTTTGTTCTAGGTCGGTGATTTGATAAAGCTCATACGTGTCACGTGGCTCTCATTTCGATCCATGTGATTAGGCGACAGCAAGTACATTTTATGGATGACATCCTTCGCAGACTCCAAATCTAATGCGATAGGGCAAAAAAGACAAGGCGGACCAAAAAACAAGATTCCTACAAAATTTCTTGTTTTTTTTTCCAAAATCGAGCGAAAATTAATGCGCGCGTTGATGTTATCCATAAGAATTACTTGCTGTGTCCTTATAACAAAACAGAGACATGCCTCCGAGCAATAATGTCGATTTCTTCTAAGTGTACCCCTCCCCAGGCAACACTACAAGTTCTAAGTACCATAAGACAGGGATATACCCCAATGCTACATGTGAGATATGGATTTGAGCAGTGCATTTTTTTGTGCTGACAGCATTATTGGTATTCTATTCAGGTTTAGAACAAAACTTGCTTCTGTAAGTAACGTCAGCACGTTGACATTTGATTTATTTTTTTTTTTATTTTACTTACTGTGAAACGTCAATATGAATAGAATGATAACAAGATTGTAGGGTATAAGGCGATTATAATTGTTAAAAATCAGATATCAATTGTTGCTACAATAAACAAGAATTCCAGGAAAAACCATTGGTATGTGTGTGTTCGTAACGTTTAACAATTATCTATAATTATCAATAATTATCTACATTTCAAAATAGCAGTTACAACTTCAAGGCTTACAATTTGAACCTAATGTGCACTGCCGTCTGTTATGTAATTGATCTAAATTAAGAGAAGTTGTTCAGAAATTACGTTAATTAAGCATGTGGAACTAATTACAACTTTGACATGCTTTCCACTTTGTAGGTTGACGTTAGATGTCAAGGGACGATTGCAATTTAGTGTGGGCTGATTTAAATTTATTGTATAGCAGGTATTATCATATAGCTGGGCGACGCCGACTAATGAGAAGGCTCAATTTCCCATCGGTTATCAGGCCGTAACATCATGAGTGGTGAATAATGACAAGAGAGTGGTCGGTTATTCAAATAACTGACCACTTTTTGGGCCCTACTATTATACATGGGACAGGACAATAACAGAAGTGTTAAGATTTGTAGTATTTATCTATTAAACAATGTATTATAGTTTATTTTGAATAATTTATTTAAAAACACAATTAAGAAGATATAAATGAAATTTAAACAGTAAAAGACTAAACATAATTTTGACACCCACACTAAAATAACTGTCAGTTGGATTGGCTATATGATAATATCGTTAATGCCCCGCCTTATCCTCAGTGTATATGGTAACAGGAGGACATTCACATACTGCTATAACCAAACACCAGTTACCATGGTGACGATCAGGTCAGTGTTTGGAACGGAAGAAGAAGAAGAAACAGAGTCAAAACAATTAACTTCTAAAGTGTTCATTTACTCATTTCTTGGTAAGTAAATAACAATACATTGTAAAGACAACCACAACAATCAAATGCAAGGACAAACTCGTCAAATACATGTAGATCTGTACCTCCTCCCCGCAGGGCAATGGAACATTCCTTATCATCTATCATTTCCATTATTACTCCGTGAAGGAGGTCAGGACCTCCGGACGGAGTGTTGTAATCGGCTGATTTTTCATGTTCGCAGTCAAAACACTGGGTTCTCTTCGTGTAATCGGCACGCAATTTTATACGCCGTCTGCGGGCATGCCCGTGTTGATGCACGAATGTGTATTTTTGCCGTTGCTGCTTTCGCGGTCAATGTAATATCGCAGACGCACCCCTACAATTACGAGGCGAATTGGAACGGTCCAGAAAAACGCGTTGTTTGGAATAGCGGGGGGGAGGTAAAAGTTCATGCAGATACGGGGTGGTTTTTATAAGTGGTTCCAGATGTTTTTGCCCATGGTTAAGAGATGCCAAGTTTTTTGGAAGATGTTCGCAGCCAAAACGCATTCTGCCGTACGTCGCATATCTGTGTAATTTCGCATGTGGTGTTGCATTATGTCCGGGATGATGCACGTCTTTTTATTTTTACCGTAGCTGTTTTGATATTGGAGTAAATGGTTATTTTCGAAACATCCCTACTTTTACAATCCTGTGGAATAGACCGTAGGTTTAGGCAGTTGTCTGGTAGCAGAGGTACTGTAAGCAGATATCCTGGTTATCTGGCCGGCGGTAGTAACACTCGCGGTGCTTACCGCCACTGTTGCTGGAATTTGGCTTGTTCCAGGCGCGCTTAATTAGGTACAGGCACCGTAAGACGGTGGGGCTGTCTTTGTTACTAGACACGACCATGATAGTCCGATCTTTATGTGAATGCAATGATTGTGTGTGTGTAATTAAAATGAAGTTAGAACTTGAAGCACAGTATCTTTACACGCCCTGGGAGCAGTAATGGATTTAGCTCTTTGTATGTTTTATGCTTGTGACGCTCCTCCGCAGCGTCCGCTAGCGCGCTATAATTAAATCCACATCTGGGCGCGCGGCGGGGTCCCCAGAGCAACACAGTGCGGAAGCATTAGCGTGTATTTGTGTCCTGGGGCCGAGAACGCATTTTGCGCAAAGCATGCTGGGTAGCAGAGTGAACTGTCCTGGGGACGAGAGTTTGTGGCGCGGGCGGAGAATGCCAAAACTCCCTCCGTGGCTAAGTTCCTTCCGCGACTAACTCCCTTCTGGGCAAATGTAGAGGGATAACGGTACACCCTCATAGCGTCACCAAATGAGGTACTTTGTAAAGGTCCGTTTCATTTGGTATATATTACCATTGTGACAGCATTTTATACCCCAAAATAGGAATCTTGCGTCTTGTTTTAGGTCCCGATAGTAGAAAGAATGCAGTGTACATGTATTCAGATGGCCGCCGTGTAACGTTACGTACTAGCGAGCGCGCACGACAATACCGCCAGAGTAGAGTAGGTTATCCTAACCCTTTAGATAGCGCAAAGAAAACAAAAACGACAGATTTGCATTAAAGAAAGTTTATTTTCCATAGCCTGGGCTAAGCCACGATCTATAACCTATGGCTTCTCCACGGGCGCTGGGGACGAGCGTGGTATTAACCGTTGCCTAATTATAATGTCTGCACAGTAGGTCTGGCGTTGACGCTTGGGATTTTGTTGAAATATATAAAACTTCACGGAGAATTGTCGCCTATGGCTTCTTGTTCATATTTCACTCATGCTCGCGGCTTGTTCTACATCTGCACAATGTTATCCTACATAATCCATTAATTCCACTTCTACAAAAAGAAATAAAGTGTCAATGAGCCCCTGGAGTATTTCTCAAAGCTGTAGGGAGCAGTTGCATTAGCTGTGAAGTATGAATATTGATTACGGATGGTTATGTACAGATAAATAGGCTTTATGGGCACCATAAAACATTTACAGTGTCACATCTCAAAACTTATTGCTTTACAATCAAATAATGTGGCACACATTAAAGACACATAACAAGACGAATTTTCTCGCTCATTCTTCCAGAAGTTACCTTTGCAACCTTAGAGGCATTCAATGCAATTTCAGGCCGGCAAAACTGGATTTTCAAAGTCAATTTTCTGGTCATTCTTTTATGTTACAGTAGTGAGTTGAATCAATCCTATTCCATAACATAGGTAGCGTACTGATATTGTAAGGCATAAACGCGATTTCCCTGACGGAAAACGGTTGCTTGTTTTGTATCGTAGACTGGATCTAGCTATTTATGGGCGGTACCCAAAAATCAAGAGACGCCTAAATTAGCTTGTTCTAGGCCTATTCTAAACGCTTCAACTATGGAATTATATGCTAATAAATGGCAGTAAATGTCAATATCAGACAGATTTCCTCATCCAGAATATTTTTTCGGCTGGTGCTCGGGGCAGGTCCTGAATGTGTACGTGTGACACGGGCTTTACTTTTGTCAGGCATGCTGTATTCAGCCAAGCATGGTGCATTATGATATTGATTACAAAGTGCCTGTAGGGTTTGCCAGACTGTTCTTTTAGGCTTTGCCTGCCTGCAGTACTGAATGTGTTATGCGCACGAGACTCAAACCAGCCCACCCATTTAACAGATGGAGTTGGAAACTTGGCAAATATCACGCATTATTAAAGCCCCTGTCAGACTAAAACACAACCATAAACAGTGCCCTGTGTAGGGATATCTCCTTCCCCGAAGGTAACCAACAACATATCTCAGTGATTTAAACCACCCCACCAATTCAACAGGTAGGGTTGGAATGTTTCTGATACGCTTTGACGGCGAAAACATACATTATTAAAGACTCTGTCAGACTGATGCCAAGTTCTGCACGTCTCACAGATTTAAAAGATCAATAAAACCGTTGACTTACTCCCATATCGCAGCCTAGGCGTAATGTATCAGATTCAAACGTGGTTAGACTTCTTTTACACTCTTTGAAGTTAAACCTGTCTTGAGCTCCATCGACAGATTTCTTTCAAAGAACTTATTTTTAGTTCATAAAAAAGCCAAAAAGATTCTAAAGCGCCACATCTTTGGGTGTTAAACGTGGTTAGACTTACTTTTACACTCTTTGAAGTTGAACCCACCTCGAGCTCCATCGACGGATTTCTTTC